AGGATCTGTCATTCACATGTTTTATCTAGGAATGAATTCCAGTATTTCTCTAAATTGTATTGCACTTTTTAGACAGAAGTGTCTATGCTAATAAGCTGATTACCAGCATTATCATTCATTGTTTGAGGGCACCTGCAAACCTCTAACATGGTAGTTGCTGAAAACCTTACTCCTCCTTTTTTTTCCTGGCATTTGCATTTCACTGAACGAGAGATTTCTTAATGCAACTTCTGCACCTGCTGCGAAACACAACTTCTATTACTTTAGAACCAATTATACACTTGATTGCTGCATAATCTACAAGAATAAAAGGTAGGTGCTGCTCCAGAAGAGGTGACACTGGAAAAGGCTGATTGACTGTGAGTGCAGGAGAAGCCCATTTTGACCATTCTGGGGGGTTGCAGTACGTGCAAGGGCATACAAAACTTCCAGCAACTATAATCCTCCTCCCGTATGTTTTTGGTACTTTAAAAAAACAGTGGAAACAGTAAAAGATTGACTGGCCAGGAGAACCTCAAAACATGTTTCTCTTTGCTGAAGAATACATACTAGGCTCTATGAGAGAGATTTCTTTGAATTATAACTGCTGCCTCTAAAGTTGCGCAGAACTGCTTCCCCTGGCATCTGATGTGTCACTCTTATCATTACTGTCTGTCAGGGCTGTTACAGATTCTGATTAAAAAAAAGGAAAATAAGAGCACGGCAGAAGTTCTTCTGCTTTTGAAATTGGAGTTTCACAACTCCTATGAACTGTACTCTAGTGCTGCCAACGCAGGCAAATATTCACTGCACGCTGTAAGAGCAGCCCACCTGCTTGCTCCTTGCTTTTGACAATAGGGCCCACGTATGTACCTAGCTTGTATTAAAGCAAATATTTTGAACCTGGATGTGCTGATTTTGGGATAACTTACATAAACACCTTCTGAAAACTTCAGGCTTTTTGGATTCCTTGAACACGTCAGCTACAGATATGCACTAGGCAGCCTCTTGCTGCTGAATCCCTCCCTGACTTCAGCCATGCTGCCAAGCAAACCAGCAAAGGAAACCTCTCCACACTGTACTTTTTTTTTTTTTTTCATAAATAGAGGGGTCCAAGCCTGCCAGCCAATCAAGTTTTATAAAAACTGAGTTCAGGGTCATATAACTATTAACCTTTGCATAGATACTGTTGGGGCAAATGTACCATGGAAACCTCACATGAGCCCTCTGCTCCTGGGCAGAACCTTGCTCTAAAAGATGTAATGTGATTAAACTGGTAAAATATTCTAGTGAGATAATTAACGAGCTGAAGCTCCAAAAGTGGGCAGCTGTTGAGTCATAAATGGCAAGATCAGAAAGAGAGGAAATCTAAGGCATGAAGATTTTTACAAAGATACGCACACACAGAACAGGGCAAAGGTACAGCCTAACACTTTTTTGAAGTCCTGTCATGCCACCAACATCCTCATATTGCTAGGAAGTATCACACAGACTGTTTGCGGATAATACAGCCTATTCACTGAAAACCACCAAGCACCATGCTGAAGGCCAGCGGGCTGATGCCATCGAAATCTAAGGGAGATTTTGGGCTGTTGGATGCACCATGGAAAGGATGGATTTTTTTCATAGACATTTTGTATAGTCATTTACACCCACAAAAAGTGAATGTATCACACTGCTATTCCAGTTTAAGAGTGGTTTTGACTCATTCTACAAAGACATAAATGATGGTTCATGTCCTAGGACAAAAGAGAGGAATGAGCCCTGTAATAACAGCCGCATTTAGGAAATGGGCTCCCTCTTGCACTGAAGTTAGTGGCTCAGATCCAGGATTTGCCATTATTTATACAGCTCTGTTGGCATGTGTGGCATCCTGCAGGCTAGTAAGAAGTCAAGAACCATGCTCTGCGGAGTTCATCATCTAAAAATTGGCATATAATTTAATGAGTAAGGACAAAAGAAAACAAGATAAATAGAAAATTGCTCCTGGGAAAGTTCCACTGTTTATTTTTAATTGCAAAGAATACAGATCATTCAGGCTGCTTCTGTTTCAGATTTGTTTCTTTTTCTGAATGATTAGACAGGCAAGAGAGAAAGAGGTCAGACACAGCGACCAAAAGTTCCCCTAGGAAGGATGAAATAGAAGCTACAAAGGGAATAAAAAATTTCGGAACCAAACCCTCTTACTCTCCTGCCCTGCCTCTCCTTTGTCTTGCCAAAGACGTACGAACCAGCAGATATCAAAGGGAAAGCTTTTTATTTCCTGAAAATTGGTGCAGGCGATGCAAAACCCACCCGCGGTCCCTGGGAGAGGCAGCACGAAGTCGGGTGGCAGGCTGTGCACAGCGGGCGCTGGCACACGCTCACGCACCTTACGCAGTTGTAGGACCGCCCTAAAATACTCTAAAAATCCTTTGGCCCTGTAACCACCTAGAACCAGGGGAGCTGATACCTAGTTCCCAGCACGTTACTCCTTTCCATCCCACTTGACATTTTTCCCTCCCTCTCCTGCAACACAACCCAGCCTTCGTTTAGCAAACACATTCACACCATCAGATCTAAACAGACTGTAATTTTTCTTTGCCATTGCACTTGATGTTGTCCCCATAGAAGGAGACATGAACTTCACTGGCAATTATATTCTGAGTAACTCAATCAGTCCTGAAATACAGAACAGTGAGCACTGTATTTTTTGTCTATCATCTCATTTATAATGCTTGTGGAATTTTTTTTTTTAAGTTTCTTTTTTCTCTGGCAATTCTCTGCTGATCATTAGCTATAAATAGATTATGTCAGTGCATATAAATGCCTGCTTATTGTATAAACTACAGCTATAATGTTATTTTAAGGTAAATGACTGGCAAGGAAAAGAGCAAAAGGCACATATGTTAGAAGTACACAAGATAATGCTTAAAACTACCAGTCAGGTTCTTCTCCCCTACCCTGACCCCAAATGCAGGAGCAGGGAATACAGCTGAGTTACAGGCCAACAGATTTACTTATTTGGAAGAAAAAAAGAAACACAGAAGAAATCCACTGTTGCAAGATCTTTCCAAGGTTCGCATGGAATTCAATAGTAATAGGAATATTTGAAGATACTTAAAAAAAAATCTGCCATGCATGCCACAGAAGAGACGTGTACTAAACTTGATGTCTAGGGGAATTCTTAGGGAATTAAGTTTTCACTGTGTATTTATTAATAACAATTGGTGGATAGTGGTATCAATTATTTCAGCATTAAAGGATAAACCTGGGAGTAAAGAAGACTTTTCTTCTCCTGGACTGTATATACTATCCTGTTGTAATATAATTTGTCCATTTTTATAAGAATATTTTTCCTTTCTGTACAGTTATGCTACTTTGGAGGAAGTAAATTGGTCATCCTGACTTTGGTAAGAAAAAAGTTGAATCTACTTTCTAAGAATTAAGTTAAGCACAGCCAATGAGCTTGGTAAAACTAACATGAATGTGAATTGGAAACATGCTGTGACTCAAGGTACACAAGTTCACAGCAAAACTGGATTAAAGAAAGGCAAATTCACTTGTGAAATGGAGAAAATCACTAACGCAACTCGATATTAGCTTTTAATTAGCAGATGTAGCTTTTGCTATACACTGTGAAGTTCAGTCTGTTAGACTTAAAATAGAAAAAGCCAGTGAAGAGTGAAGAAAAAAAATGCTGGCCTATTTTTGCTTTCTTTGCCTTGTCCTAAAGGCAGTCTCTAGTTGTTGAACATCATCTGTTATCAACCAAGAACACATCAGTCTTCGCAAATTAATATAAAAGAAAGACTTCAGTCAGCATCAGCCCCCAATCTCTTGTGAATTGGTACAAACTGCTCAGCAGCGATCTGTGGGCAGCAGACCAAGGCATTTGAAGTGGCACATGTTAGAGGATGAAAGTGGGGCAGGTACAGGTGTGCAGCGAGAAAAAACGAGCTCCTCAGAAGTCATTTTGCAGAGAGGCAAAGGCTGCTGCATCTCCACTCCTGTCACATTTGAGGTCGATGACTCTCTCAAACCCAATTTTCCTGATGGAGCAGAGGAGAGACTTTCCTGCTCCTGTATCTGTTACATTTCCTCCAACCTGATTTGCAGACTGGCAGTGATAATGTCTTCTATTCCTGTTTTTTAAATCATAAAATTTGAAAACAACGTAGTTAAGGACAGAGACAAAAAGTCCCCAAGAGAGCACTGGGGACAGGAGACATATGCCAGATTTTCTCAGATAATGAGCTTTTAAAGCTCATTTTTTGGTATAAAAATTCCATATCAAAAAAGAAGTGGCCACTTTCTCTTCTCTTCTTACAGTAGAAAGAGAGTGTTTGGCATATGCAAAATCTTAATATTGGATTTGCACCAGGACACAGAGCCAGGGGATCTGGCCAGGAAATACGTGCTCTAAAAAATGGGCAAATACAAGATGGCAGTGGCTGAGGGACAAAACACTGGAGATTTCAGGATTGTTGCAGCATGAAAGGCTCCATGAAACACAATGACTCTCTGACAAGTGGGGTTTTGTAAAGCCTGCTCTGAAAACTTCCCAGAATACACTTCTACTTTTGTCCGTTTTGGAAATCACTACAGGGCAAATTCAGGGCAACTCTGTTCTAGAGAGGTGCATTCTCCAAACAGGGCTGCTAATACTAAAATATCCCTGGTACCAATTTTGCAAGTCTGAAGACACCCTTGTGAAGCAATGATATGCTAACGAAATCATCCTGTCTATTATGTCTATAATCTGTCCCGTGTCCAACATTGGGAGAAGCAGGTGCATCCTCTCAAAAAGCTTTCATAAAGTGTTCTTTCTCTGCACTTTTAGACACAATTACTTTGCAGTAAATTTACACATTTTGGAATTTTGTAAGTAAATTACATGATTAAACAATGCCAATAAAGCTGCTAGAAGCTACCACACAGATTTCAAGAAACGTGTTAATAAAGAATTATTCTGTCTTTACTTCACAAAACAATAGCACCATGGTCTCTAAATTCATTTGCACACTTGTTCTTTCTCTTACCAGCTGTTGCCCTTTTGGACCCCAACCAGCATACTGAAGCTTTGCATTGCTGACCTCAGGGGGATACAAATTCTGGGGATCCCTGCAAAAAGAGAAAAATAAAATTTCAGCTTCAGGAATGTCCTTATTTAAGCTGGTGCACACCTGTTTTGGAAATCCACCATGACCTTGTAAGGCATCTTTCAGCTGGAATCATCTAATATTTAGTGACAGATTTCAGTAGATTATTTTACTGTAAGGTAAGCACTATACCACGAGCAAGCATTGGTGAGATCAAATATTTAACTGACAGTTTCTGTTTCTTATTAATACAAAGTTAAACATACTCGTTCCACTGCTGACTGCCTAAGCCTTAAGAATTAGTCAAGGGATGGCAAACAAAGTAATTGTATTTATCAACACTGATGATGCCCACAAAGTATAAACATTAATTATATTTTTGAATCATACTGCCACAAGAAAAACATAATTTCATCTTCTTCACCCTATGGCTTTTCCTCCTAATAATGTTCCTTTGAACATGACTGCAGGAAAGTTCAGCAACTCTGCAACTGATATGCAGCCTGGTTTGCAAGGCAAAAGCTCTTACTAATTCCAAATACCTCATTTTTTTAAGAAAATAAAATCAAAACGCTTTTCTTGTTCTTTTGTCCATTACCTTCACTTTGTAGCAGAACATCAGTGAGACATAGAAAATGCAATATAGAAAAAGGAGGCTTTTTTGGTAAATGTCAGAGCAGCATAATGTCATTTTATCACAGCACAGACAGCATTGCCTTGGTGGTATTTATACTCAGCATAAATAATTACATTATGTATTCTGAAGTCACATTGCTACAACTCTGTGTATAGTAATATTCTACAAACATGAACACTAATAAAGCCCGCATACAGTATACCTCATTAGCAGATCTCAAACTGCTTTAAAAAGTAAGGGCATTATCCTCACTGGTCTACAGACAGGAATAACAAGGCAATTTGAGGCCAACATCACCCAAAACCAAAGGAAAGCGCCAAAGCCTGTCTAGACTTTACACAAAAGGCCTTCTCTACTTGTACAGAGTTTATTTCTTCATTAAAGGCAAGGTTTTCCAGACCATATTTTCAAAACAGAACGAAGCTGAATGCAATAATTAGACACTAACTGAATTCTCTTTATTGCCTGTTTTGTGACCTGGTGCTGTACCACAGTTACACGCCGGCTCTGCTCTTTCAAGCAAGAACTCCCTTGGCTGCACATTCCCACTGCACCGGGGCTGTTGTAGAAAGTCCAAAGAGGAGTGTTCAGAAATTGATTTTGTGCAGTCTTTCTAATGTGAAAAAAACAGCTTTTCCTGTGAACTCCTGTTTGAAGACCAGCTAGAATCAGGCAAACCCTAGATGAGGACACCGTTGCCTATAGTTTCCCCCTTCCATAGCTCTTGCAGTTGGAACAGAAACTTCTGCTCTCCTGCTAGAAGGTATGTATCTGTGGTTATAAACCATAACCCTTAATGTCTTCACCCTGTGAAGAGGTCCATGGAGCTGATTAAAGTGCTCAAGATGACAGGACTGATGCAGATGAGATCCATTAGGAATGTGGAGGTGCAAGAGGGGTTTGTTGATCATTGACCCTACAAGTCTGAAGGGTACCCAAGGAGCTTTTGGCTCTATAGGCAGTGTCACCCACAACTGCTGCCAGTGGAGTAAAATTATGTCTTTTCTTCTCATGGTTTTTAACCAGAAGGCGTCTTTATGGGTAGCCTAAAGTCATTTTTGTAAGGTATGGATAAGAGAACAGGTAAGTGTCATACTGAACTCCTACTAACAGCAGCCACAAAATTCCCATTCCAGAAAGAATAGCCCTACAACCTCTTCTGGATCTTTTCAAGCTTGTATACATTAGCTACTGAAGTTTCAAGTCAGCTATTCCTGTTAAGACTCAATTTCTTTGGTTAGCTGTCTTGATTATCTCAACAGGGTGTAACCTCTGAGTGCAGGAGGAAGACAGAAAATGAGTGAATCAAACCAAAACCTCTTATGGGAGAGAAAAAAAAGAAGTACTTTGTTATTTGTCAATGAATTATCTAGTTCTTGGGTTTTTTCCACTCATGTGAGAAGAGGAGCAAGATATTATAAACAGAGAGGGAAATATCATCCCCAAATAAACAGCTTATACAACTGTAAGAATTCAAGCCTGTAATGCTTCAGATAACAGGTGGAGCTACAGGACAGACACACCAATTACAGCCAATAATTCAGACCAGAGCCCAGACAAGTCCTGTCAGTTCTGCTCACTGCATCATCTTTTAGAAGAGGAAATCTCTAATGCAATGAGAAATGCTGCATAAACCAGCTTTGGCACTTAATAAAGCAGAAGGAAAAGCCCTCCATTTGGTCTACCAGGAAAGAGCTCTGCTGCAAGCAAAAAAGCAAAGTCATCTTCCCTTTCTCTGATATGGCTGAGGAAAAATAGAATTGCATCTCCTGAATTCCTTCTTAAGTTGTTCAGAATGGCTGGGAAATTTCTTCTGTAGCAAAATCTTGTTTGTTTGCCTTGAAACCTTTTGACAAATATGCGGATAGAAAGGCTGACAGATGGGATTGCCTATTGTCTGGAGGCACCTCATTTACAAACCTAGGTACCATAAACCGCCTCAATATTCAGCATGCCCAGGTTGGGATGCAGACCTCTGAAGGTAGGCAGTAGCTGTCCATCCATCCTCATGCTCTGAGTTATTCTTTTCTACCACAGGCTGTGAAAGCAGTCTAAGATCCTAGTTTCTCCCCACAAACACTCCTGAGAGATGAAGATTTTCCTCTTGGTAGATTTTGGTTTGTTCCTCATTGATTCTGAAGAGAATCCTCTTCCCTAGAGTAGCAACATAATTCCCTCACCTGTAGGAACCTTCAGTGCCACATGCAAGGGGATTGAGAAGACACCCCTCCTTGCCAAGCCTGACCTAGCAAGCTCCAGAGAAACTGTAGGAATGAGCTGGAGATAGGCTACATAGGAGTGGCCAGGAGAGTCTGGGCTGTCAGCAAGCCTGAGGTGGCCTCACCTACTTGTGAACCCTACCATGAAAGATCAGATTCCCACATTTTGGATTCCCACGTGTTGGGTGCATGGTCTGCAGTGGAACATGCGTGGACACCCCCTCCCTGGGAGCCCCAAGCAATCCTGTTACAAACCCATTATATCACCTATAGAAGAAGGAGGAGGAGGAATTGTCTACACAGCTGCTCCAGGCAGGATGACCACAACTATCTACCGGTCTCCGCGGGAAAGCTCTTAGTGATCCTCAAACTGAAAAACCTGTTTGGAGAGCAGCTATCAAACATATTTCCAATTATCTCATACTATTCTGGACTCTTAGTTCTCTTTGGTAAAACTGCACACCAATACCCCAGGAGTGCTTGTCCATTTTCCAAGTGCTGCATAAATGGGATTTCATGCTGGTCAACTCCTTCTAGGAGGGATGTTATTGCTGATAAGCTCCAAGGCTACCCCCTTGCTTCTCCTCCAGAACAGCCTGCTTAAAATCCTTCTGTATTTTTTGTTGAATCAATCAATACTGCAGGGTCATCTCAGCCTCTCCAAAGAGCCAGTGCTCCTCACAGACCCTCATAATTAGGCCTTGGTTGGATCTGAGCCTTCCCCTTGTGAGCTCATTTGTGCAGGATGCTGGCTTGGAAATGGGCTGTTCTGAAGGCAGCCTGTGTATCTCCTGTTAGTGGTTTGCATGAAGAAATAGGTTCACTGCATCCTCACACAGTTTTCACTATTTCCTTATGGAAAAAAACCCTTAATCTTCATTTCCAGCCATAGAAATAGCAAAGCCTTATTAAAGGGTTGCCGTTATTTCTCTTACTTCTTAAAATGATTGATTTGAAAGCCCAGGAAAGAAGGGAACAATAATGTTGGTTTAGGATATACAGAAGATGAAGCAGGTGCTGCATAAACTCTTCCACATTAAGATGACATTGTCTGGAGCTCAAGTTGTTAAATTGCCCCAGACACAGGCACAATTTCAGCACAATGTTCACAAAACATCATGGAAGTAGTAAATTCTGAAATTTTCTCAGTTAGATGAAGATCTCTGCCAAAAAGTCTGCCCTCAGAATTTTTGAATAAGGAAAATTCCTGCATGCAATTAGTGTGCTGTCTGCCAAATCATTTTTGCTTGTAATTTAGCTCAGAGCGTGTATGTAGAATAAAACAAACTAATCAATCATATCAGATTGCCCGGTTTTGACCTTAAAAAAATACTGTGATTAATGAGGAACTAGTTTTAAAGAGATTGGGTTTTTTTCTGAAATGTTTATATCTATGTGTTCCCTCTTCTGACATTTTCTCCTTTCTAAAGACGACCAATTTCCTTCAGACACTTCACAGCACTGAGTCTCCCCCTGAGCACAAACATGACAAATTGTTCTGTATTGAGTTCTTCAAAAGCAACTTAAAAAAACAATAGAAATTTTCCCTTGTAATTGACTGAGAGGCTCCTTTTACTTCAAGAAAAATATTTTACAACGCCAGACTGAAAAAGTCTGAAACTGAAAAAAGCAGTCAAAGTCTGGGGTATGCTATGGGCTCTTCTTCTAGGGTCTGTTTTAATAGCTTTTAATTTTCATTTTAAATACAGAACCATAGGATTTGTATGGAAATTCTTTGCACATGCTGCTAATGTGAGAAAAAATGCAACAATTTGCACCAAAGGCTGCTCTGACATGTCCAGCCTCTAAACAAATAACCAAAACTATGCATATGAGCTGCAGTGAGGTCTTAAGAAAAACTCTGAACCCCCTTGCTTAACTAGGCCATAATTTTGGAAAATACAGAAAGTATATGAAGATTTTGGTAGTATATGCAAAAGGGTTGAAGAAATAACGGTAATTAAAAAAAAGTGTGGGGAAGGTAGAAGTATCCCCTCCTGTTACTTGCATCAAGCCAGCACTCAATATTTTGAAAGACGACAGCCCTAAGCACATCAGCTCACAGTACTTTAAGACTTTTTCATGATTTACTCTAAAAAACTGTCTATCCAGCTAAAGTATCTGCCTCAGCACCAGAACTTGGTGCTGAGAACTCTACTTCTAATA